TAGCTTCACAGTGTTACAACTTTACTCCACTGCACTGCCAGGGACACACCCACTGAAATAGCCTTTCATCAGAAATTACCAGATTGTTATAGGGATCAGTGGGAAAGAGATGTGAGTGTTCTTAGATTTACTTGTAAGAACAAAGATAGAAATAATTCTTCACCCCCCAAATCAATCCATTCCCAATTTCAGTGATAATATATCTGTTGGAGGGAGAGAGAGGAAAGGAACAGAATTCCTATTATGGAAGCATATTTGAAAATCTTGAGTCATTCTTATTTCAACTTCTTTTGAAACAGACACAGTTCTAAGGAATTTAGAGGATGTAATAAATATTTAGTTAAGAAAACCAGTGAGGGAAACTATCATCACTTCATTCTAGTTTCTGTGACACATTTTATAACAGTAATCAGCTGTCTAAAATTGAGCTGGCTTCTGTCTTTCCAGACTTCCTAGGGCTAAAAAAAGGATGGTTAAACAGTTTCAAAAAGTTTATATGCAGGTATAGTAAACAGAGGAAGTTAGTACACTTCTTGCTATTCCATTATAAATGTAGTTGGTAATCTTAATACTGTAACAATCACAATAATAAACACGAGTGCTTATTATGTGTTAGGCTGTCTGCTAATAAATGGCTATGCAGTATCTCATTTAATTCTCAACATAGTAATTGTATATGTACACTATTTTTTGGGGGGGGAGCTACTTTTTTTTAAAAAAGATTTCTTTCTAAATGCATACAGAACTGAGATACAGGGCAGAGGTGCAGGGGCAGTGAGGGGATTCACCGAAGACAGAGTGGGGAGCAGAATAGGCAGACTGACTGAAGTACACTGCTGAGGGAGCAGTGGGTAAGACAGGCCTGCCTGCTGTGCCATGTGTGTCAGCTCCCTGACCAGGAATTGAACTTGGGCTGAACCAGCTACTAATAGCTTCACAGCTTTGCTTTAACCCATTGTGCCACCAGGGAGGGCCCTATGTACACTATTTTATTACCACTTTACAGATGAGGGAAGGAAGGCTAGCATTTAAAAGATGGCACAGTCAGAGTAATGTATATCTATACAAACAGTATGTAGGTACAACTCAAATTTATATATAATTAATATGTATGGTATGTGAACTTTTAATGCATTTTCTTTCCCAGACAAGCTCTTGCAATTCTATTTTAAAATAAAATTCAAAACAGAATCCTAAAATTAGTGACTTTCCATTGAAATATTTCTATTTATTCCTTTGGGAGAGGTATAATACAAAGGATTAAGCTACAATATTGATGCTCCAGTCCATTCCTTCATTTTGATGAAGTAACTATAATACAGCAGTTACTACTTTAACACAAATATAAAAAGCATAAACTGCCTAACCAACGCTTCTCTTTTTATTTTATATTTTTTAAAGAAACCAGTGCTTTCTTTTTAGTTCTTAACAACTGAACACATATTACAAAGTTTTAGCAAAAGTATTATTTGCTCTATCTTAGTTTTTCTATCATCTTAAGGGGGACTCTAAAAGTATCTGTCATTGTGCTGGTTTTAGACTTAGTTTTTGTTCCTGTACTCTCTACAGAAGGTACAAGAATGGAACTTCAGATTGAATACTAGTTTTAATATTTTCAACAGACTCCTCCTTTTATAAGAACAAGGAAGCTTGTTCATGTTGACATACCAAGGCAACAGTGCAAACCAGGCCCCTGGCTTCTAGCACTGGATGGATATTCTTAGAGACCACCAGTAACTAGGTAGGTGTTTCACAGGCATTAAGTCAACAGTTGACGTTCTATCCAAAATTCTAGGAAACATGAAAAACTCACTCACTATGGAGAGTTTTACTGAGAAATCTAGATAAAGGTGGCAGTATAAATTCTCAGCAGTTCTCAAGTCTGCTTGTAAAGTTAACTGCGGAAAGACAACCTGTTATCTGAAAACTATCCAGTTTTTCAAGACACAAATGCAAAGGGTATACAAAGAATGGGAGGGAAAATAGGAACAAAGAGGTCTGAAGAGGCCATTTACTCTAAGGTCACCTAAATTAAATAATGAGGCCACAATAATGCCAATGAACCTGAAGGCCCCCATCCTGAATGTTGAAAAATAAAATAAGTTCAAATTTCTTATCATTAACTGCTACATCAGAAAAAGGATATGTTTGCTTTTGATTACTCTTCACACCCAAGGTTAATCTCACATAGGCCATTATCACAGTACAGACCTAGCAGAGAAGGGAACAGTGGCTGAGCCAGCACCAGAGCCTAAAGAGAGTGGAGCTGGACAGAAAGCAGGAGTGACCATGATGTAACTTGATTATGGGCACTAGGGAAGGTAGAGTGGCAGGGGCAGCAAGACTTTAACTCCTTAGTTCCTCAGCTGCTCCTCCCAGAATCATGCCTAGTTAACAATTCAATAAAGGTGTAGAATCAGAAAAATAAGAGAATTATAGGTACCACTGAGCCATGATGGTAGACAGAGGATTATCCTTTTCTCCTACATTTAATCTGAGAAGACACAAGAACTATTTGCTTTATATATGGCAGATAAAAAGAAAAGACACTGTTATCTAGTCACTAACTTCTAACAAGCCACATGGTCCACAAATTTGATGATATATGGGCTATTATTTTTATAAGATTTTAAAAAATAAGACATTAACTTATTGGAGGAAATAGTGGCTCTCAACCTTCTTTCCTCAGGACGCTTTTACATTTTAAAAGTTCAAGAACCCGGTGCTCTCCCTAGTGGTACAACGGGTTAAAACACTGCACTTATGAAGCTCTAGGAAGCCACTGTAGCATGAGTTTGATCCCTGGTCAGGGAGCTGACCCACATAATAGGGTCATAATAGACCTCTCCTGACCAGCCCGCTGCTACCTCTAGCAGTGTACTATGTCAATCTGCCTGTTCTGTTCTCCCCACACCGTTTCTGGTGAATCCTCTCACCCACCACACCTCTGGCCTGTACCCCAGTTCTGTAAGCATAAATGAATACATCTTTTAAAAAAAAAAAGATTCGGCTTATATGATATATCATTTGATATCTACCATATTAAGTTAAAATGATTTACTAACATTTAAAATAATAATTCTATTATGTGTTAACAGAAAAATTTGTTTTTGTGGGCCCTCCCTGGTGGTGCAGCAGGTTGGGACACAACACTGCAAGCCTGCCACAATGGCTTCAGTGTGAGTTCGATCCCAGCTCAGGGGGTGACCCACATGGTGCAGCATGTCCCTGCCACTCTACCTTCCCTAGTGCCCATAGCAAGTTACATCATGGTCACTCCTGTCTTGCCTGCTGCTCCCCTCAGCAGTGTACTTCATGGATCTGCCTGTTCTACTTCCTGCTCTGTCTCTGGTGAATTCTCTCACCGCCCCTGCACCTCTGACTTGTACCCCAGTTCCATATGCATAGATTAATACATCTTAAAAAAAAATAAAAGAGGGGTTCTTTTTTTCATATTATGAGCTCTCTGAAGCCACTGCAGCATGAGTTTGATCCCCCACTAGGGAGCTGACCCACGTGGTGTGGCAGACCTCTCCTGACCCACCCACTGTTCCCCTCAGCAGTGTATTTCAGTCCATCTCCTGTTCTGTTCCCCACTCTGTCTCTGGTGAACCCTCTCACCCACCATACATATGGCCTATATCCCAGTTCTCTAAGCATAAGCATAAATAAATAAATCTTTAAAAAAAAAAAGTAAAGAAAAATTTGTTTTTTAAAAAAATTACTACATTTTCTAAAACAAAGAGAAAATTTTGAGGAGTGGAATTGTTTTATAATTTTATGGATGTAAAATATACCTGACTTAAAAGAACTGGAGTTACGTATCTTTTATAATGTTTTGCAATTCTGGCTGAAGTATGTGGGGGAAAAAATCCAAATCTACAAAGATAAATAGTTGGAAATGGTAGAAATGCTTTAATGACCATTTCAGATAAATCTGAAAATGATTATCTGCTTTAGCATCAAAACTGAGTAAGTGGTAGTTTCTTAAAGGTTACATGCAATGTGGAATTTGAAAGCATATCAATGAACTTTTCATATTGTATTATATTAAAATTCAACAGACTAGGTTTACACATTGAATGAATATTTTATCATGAATGATTCTGTAACATCTTGTATTGGTCATTTGGAAAATACTGATTCACTGAGTCATACACATCTTCTAAATATTAACACATTTCACTGTATATTTTAAAAACCACATTCTTTTTTACTAATTGATCTTCATCAGAAGTCAATTTTAAGTTTGAAAAAGCTGTCAAGCTCACAAAGGCAGATACAAAATTTCCAAAACTGTGATGTTCACTTAGAAAATTCAATGGCAGCAAATATTGTCAGCTATTTTCCTTGAAGTGACAGGATCACTTAATTTTCAGGAAAGTATCTGCCAAATGCTGAAAAATCACAGTCTGCTCTTTCAAATAAAAATGGCGTTTTATGAAAAAAGAAATGGTTAGTTCAGCTCTCAGCTAAAACAAGTACTCAAGAGCTTTTCTTTCAGATAACATTATATGTACTTGGATATGCAGAAGTCCTTAATATAAAGCTTCCCTCTGTTACAAAATAATAAAACAGTGAAACTCAAGGATTAAGATGTAATAAAAGTATTTTTTTACACTCAATCAGAACATTCATAAGTGAAACTGGATTTTCTTCCTTATTTACACAATGAATGACAGCAGTGAAGAATCCCTAGCCATTGGTATGGTTTGGCTCTCCTGCCTCCAATGGTCTTAAGCCACCAGAATTTTTACCATTGAAGTTCTTGTACCACCATGCAAATGTCAACATAATAAAAAGTTAAACAAAATCTCTGTATCACTATGAAAGTAAATTTGAAATTATGGGTCCCTAAGGATCTCAGGGAACCCTTAGGGATTTGTGAACCATACTTTAAGAATTGCTCTAAAAATCTCTCCTTTAGGCAAGGACAGACACCCATATAATACAAATAACAGTAACCCTAAGCAAAACACTAGTGAAAAATATCTTCTTACCTTTGCCAAGACTAAAGACAAATGGCTCATTTCTATCATGACTGGAATCAAACTTCTTTCCATTTGACAATTTTCCATTGTAATGGACATAAACCTTGTCTCCAATCATTGGTGATTCCTCACTATTCCCCACTCTTTTGACAATCTAGGAAAAACAAATGTTAGGAAAAAGGTGAAACATTTTACTTAGATTTCAAGAATAAAGCTCACATAATCCATTCTATGTCGGCCAGGCAGGGTTGTAAATAACAATCTGTCCTTTCTAGAGGCTCCCTTGCAGTTCTTTAAATAATCGGGTTAGAAAACCATCCTTCACTAATCTAAATCGCTAATGTTTAGTTTTATTGTTGACTACCCTCAAAACAATTAACCAACAGATCCTGCTTCATTGGCTTAATGTCCCATCCTGTGGCATTAAACTCTCCCAAGTAACAGAGCAAGTTTACAAACTGAGTAAAACCAAAATCATCAGTGGACTTCACAGAATACTCAAAAAGAAGTTTCAAGCAAAGTTTCAAAGGTGAGATTTTAATTACTTACCTTCCTTTTCTAAAAACATTAGCTTTTGACCAGAGCCACTAGTTTGGTTTAATTTCAAAAAGCACAATTACTTAGGTAACAGGTTATATTTCCTATTATTTGAGCATATTCACTGTGTGAAAAAAAGCAGCATTACTGTACAGTTTGATATACTGGATAACTTATTTTCTAGTAAAGGAAATGCCAAAAAAAGCTCCAAGCTGAAAAATATTTAGCTATTGTAAAATCCAATATATTTATTTTGTTCTTGGCAGAGCAAACCACTAATGTCGTTGGTCAGTTCTGGGAAAAGAAAATCAAAGCAGGCTTGCAATGGCATAATTCATTCCGTCAATCATCTATGCCAAATAAATGATTTTTACTAGACAGCAGAGATGGTAGCTAATTACCAATGAAGATCTTTTTGGCAGAAAGGTTTGAATTTTGTCTAAAGAATTCAATTATAATGCTCCTAAAATCTTTGAAATGTGTTCCCTGCCTCACCCTCATTTCACCACTGTGAACTGAGATTCTATAACTTTCTTAGTTCAAAAGTCCAGACAGTCTTCAAAAAATTCATTACTGCAATTCCAGCCAAACAACTGTTAAAATAAATAAACGACTTCAGTAAAGTTGCAGGATACAAAATCAACACATAGATAACAGTTGTGTTTCTATATACTAACAAGGAAATATCTGAAAAAGAATTTAAAATGCTACATTCACAACAGCATCAAAAACAAATACTTAGGAATAAATTTAACCAAGGAGGTGAAAGATGTGCATGCTGAAAACTTTAAGACTTTCATGAAGGAAACATGAATAAGTAGGAAGATATCCTACGTTCATGAGTCAGAAGGATTAATGCTGTTAAAATGTTCCAACTGCCCAAAGCTATTCCTAGATTGAATGCATTTCTTACCAAAATTCCAGAGCTATTTTTCATAGAAACAGAAAAGCAAGCCCAAAATTTGTATGGTACTACCCTATAAACAGACACACAAGACCAATGGAACAGAACTGAACGCCCAACAACATATGAAGTCAACTAATATTACAAGCAAGCCAAAAGTACTCAATGGAGAAAGGAGAATCTCTTCAATGGCACTGGGAAAACTGGGTAATCACCAGTAAAATGAAGTCAAAAAGCTTTATATACTTAAATGTAAGACCTGAAACTATAAAATGCCTACAAGAAAAAAGGAGAAAAAGCTCCTTGGTCCTGGTCTTTACAATAGTATTTGGATACAACACCAAAAGTACAAGTAACAAGAGCAAAAACAAGAGTGGGAAAACAAATTAAAAAGCTTCTGTACTGCACGATAAACAACAAAATGAAAAAACAATCTAAAGAAAGGAAAAAATACTTGCAATTTATATAGCCGACAAGGAGTTAATATTCAGAATACACAAGGAATTCATGCAATTAAAATATCTATGTTTTTAAAATGGTGGAGGAAGTAAAAGTCTTCTATTTTTCCATAGAAGACTTTTTTTAGAAGGTCAACAGCTACATAAAACAATGCTCAACATCACTAATCATCAGTAAAGAGACATCACCTCAAACTGACTGTTGGTAGGAATGTAAATTGGAGTAGCCACCTGTAAAACCCTAAAGGTCTTCAAAAATTAGACACAAAATCATCAGCAATCCCACTCTGGGGTGTATATCCAGAGGAAATGACACCATTCTCTAGAAGAGAGATACCTGCACTCCCATGTTCACTGTAGCATTTTCACAACAGTCAAGTTCAAGAAATAACCTAAGTGCCCATCTATGGATAAATGGATAAAGAAGTGATATGGTGTAGAATGTGTTTATATACTGAGGTGTGTATACATATACACACACACAATATGATATGATGTAAAATATTTATGTTTTATAGATAGATGATGCAAATACACAAAAAGGAACTTCAGCCAGAAAGAGATCATGCCATAAACAACAAAATGAAACATGGATGTTAGGTTGTTAAGGGCACTGTGCTAAATGAAACAGGCCAGAGAAGACAAATACTGTATGATATCACTGATAAAGTTATGACAGAGATAGGTTCTATGAACTGTTAAGACAATTTTATCATTGTGCAAATGTCACAGAGTGTAATTAAATAAACCAAGATGGTGTAGATGACCACATACACAGGATAATATGGTATAGCCTACTGGGACCACTGTTGTTGACTGAGGCATCAATAAATATGGGATGATTACATGTGGACCCCAAAAGTAGCTGAATTCACCATTTCTATTTATGATGAAAAACTCCCAATATAATGGGCATGGAAGGAGAATGGAATAAAAACAGGTACACAGATCAATAGAGTAAAATTGAAAGCTCAGAAATAAAACAACACCTGTATGAGCAACTAATTTATGAAAAGGAATCAGGAGCATACAATGGAAAAAAGAATGGCCTCTTCAATAAGTGGTGCTGGGAAACAGGACGGTCATATATAAAAGAATGAAACTAGACTACCATCACACACCACATACTAAAATCAATTCAAAATGGATTAAACACTTGAATATACTAAATACATAGGTAATAAATTTTTTTGACATCAGTCTTAGTAATCTCTTTGTGGATTTATCTCCAATAATAAGAGAAACAAAAATATAAATAAATGGAACATCAAACTAAAAGGCTTCTGCACAGTGAAAAGGCAGAAGACATTTGTAAACCATATATCAGACCATCCAAAATATATAAATAATTTGTACAACTAAACAACAAAACCCATACTATTCACTTAAAAACTTGGCAGAGGGGCCTGCCCTGGTGGTGCAACAGGTTAAAGCATAGCACTATGAATCTATCTGCAGCCACTGCAGCATGAGTTTCAACCCCGAGCAAGGGGGTGACCCACATGGTGCAGCAGACCTCTCCTGACCCATCCACTGCTTCCCTCGGCAGTGTACTTTGACAATCTGCCTGTTCTGCTCCCTACTCTGTCTCTGGCGAACCCTTTCACCCCCTGCACCTCTGGCCTGTACTACAGTTCTGTGTGCATAAACAAATAAATCTTTGAAAAAAAAAAAAAAACTTGGCAGAGGATCTAAATAGGCATTTTGCAAAGATATACAGATAACTAACATACACATGAAAAGATGTTTTACATCACTCATTATTAGTGAAATGCAAATCAAAACCACAATGAGATTTCTACCTTGCAGCAGATAGAAGTGTTGGTGAATATATGAATAAAGGAATCTTCCTGGTGCTACTGGTAGGAAGTTAAGTTGGTGCAGCCATTATAGAAAACAGTATGGAAACTCCTCAAAAAATTAAAAATAGAATTACTACATTAGCTAGTAAAATTACTTCTGAGTATTTACTAGAAGAATATAAAAACATTAACTCAAAAAGCTATATGTACCCCTATGCTCACTTCAGTTCTAGTCATAATAGTCAAGATATGGAAACAACCCAAAGACCAAGTGACAAATGAATGAATAAATAAATGGTACAAGTACACAATGAAATACTACTCAGACTTCTTGGTTGCTTAGGGATTAATTCTCAGCCCTATCACTGCTATGGCCTAAGTTCAGACCTTGACCAGGGAGCTAACCCATGTATGGTGCAGCAGGCCTCTCCTGTCTCACCCACAACTCCCTTTTTACCAGTTTATTTTGGTAAATCTGCCTGTTCTGCTTCCCACTCTGTCTCTGATCAATCTTCTCAACTCCTCAACCTCTGGCCTACACCCCAGTTCTTATATGCAATAAGTAAACAATTAAAAAAATGAGAGAACGAAATACTACTCAACTGTGAAAAAGACCTGCCATTTGTGACAACATAGATGGACCTTGAGCAAATTAAATGAACCAAAATAAGACAGAAGGAAAAAGACAAATACCACATAATTTCACTCATTTGTGGACTATAAAGAATAGAAAAAGCAAATGAACACAACAAATTCTAGGCTCTGACAACAGAAAGGAAGGAGATGGACGGGAATAGGTTGATGGGTCCAATAGCTTGGCAGTCGATGGTAACTGAACATTTGGTGATGGATATGGTGAGGTATACTCCTGGAACCTATACAGTGCTGTAAATTAATAATAATAATAATAATAATACAAAAAAGGTTAATTCACAGAGAGTAGATGGTCAGAGGCTGGGAAGTGGGAGGTAGGGGAAGATGTTAGTTAAATTGCATAAACTTCCATTTAGAAGATGAATAAATTTTGCGGATTTAATGTATAGTATGGTTGCTAAGAGAGATCTTAAATGTTTATATCATTTGCATGGTAATCATGTGAAGAATAAGATACTAATGACCTTATTGTGGTATTCATTTCAAAACACTGGGGATCCAATCATCTAGCTAGACAACTTAAACTTATACAGTGTTTTATGCCAGTTATATTTCAGTAAATCTAGGAACAAATAATTACAGGCATATTTCATTTTATTGTGTTTTGCTTTAGTATACTTTACAGATATTATACTCTCAACAAACTGAAGGCTGGCAATGATCAAATGTGTTGGCACCATTTACCCAACAGCGCGTGCTCACATTGTGTCTCATTTAATTAAGGTGTACTCATGTTGTATTTTAGACATGATATTACTTGTACTTTATTAATGGTATGATATTGTAAACATCTTTTTATATAAATTGGGAAGAAAACTTGTATGTCTTGCTTTATTGTGGTGATTTTGAGCAGAGTCTACCATATCTCCAAGGCACGTTCATGTAACTAAAAAGAAAGTTACTTCATTAAAAAAACAAGTATCACTCTAAGATTTCAAAGGGAAAAAATTCAAAAAATTAAAGAAAAACACACAATATTCTAAAAGTGTCCATGCTCATGAACTGCCAACAGTATTTGGGGCCTGAGTCTCCTATGGAGGGTTCTACATTTCTAGGGCCATAAAAATGGAATCGGGTACATAGATAAGTAGCTAACAGGCAATCAGACAGCTGTCCATAGCCACAATTGATACTGTGGTATCACTTCAGATTTTCCCAGCAGGGTGAATTTGTGCCTAAATCCGGAGTTGCCTTAAGGACAAAAATCTAGTCTCAATTCATTTAAAAAATGTAAGCTCCACAATACAATTTTTATCTTCCTGTGCATGTTAATGACTTTCCAGATATGCCTTGGTCTTTTTTTTCTTCTCCTAACTACACCATAGTTAGATTACGATAGGTCATCTATTGTGCTAAATGCTTTATGTAATGCAGATAACTCTGTGAGGTAGTTAGTAATATTTCAATTTACAAATGAGTTAACTGCATCACAGACAGGTAAACTACACTGCCTGAGGTCAATTAGTAGACCTGTTTAATCTTAACAAAAGACCTATGGTGAAACCAGAGGTTCTAGATAATGATACATAATAGGATTTAAAGCGGATTTTACTGTCTCAAAATCTTTTTTATAAGCCTAAAAATATTACTAGGTTTATTAACTACAATACAGGATCTGAGGCAAGTTTGGGACTGTATTCTCAGTGTGGGTATATGAAAAGATAAAAATGAAAAACTTAATAGAGGTAGGGACACGCTGAGAACAACCTGTAGAATTTTCAGTCTTTCAAAGCATCCTGAAATTTGGGGTAAGTAGTTTAGCCACAATGTTGAAAAGTCTTCTGGATAGAAGCTTATCAGGAGGTAAGTAAGTCCTTTCACTAGTTTCAAGTCTCTAAAATTTGGGCACATGGGCACACAGCAGATTAACAGTAAAACGTGTTTATTGCAAAGAGATTCAAGCACAGAAAAAAGTTTTCACAAAAGCAACATCAGACAAAAAGAAACTAAAAAATTTTCATTTGATAGTGTTGACACAGGGGTTATCAGAACTCAGTAGTAATATTTAGAATGTGTAAGATAATGTTATAAACATTATCTTACATCAAACATTATCTTACATCTTATAAACATTATCTTACATTAAAAAAATTAATTCAAACCCACGGGGATTACAATTGAGATGAAAAAAAAATGCACAAAATGATGTAAAAATATTATATTAATAAAAAATTAATTCAACTATACAAAATGTGTATGTATGTGTAACAATTGTGTGAAACAATTGTGTACAGCCACTTAATCTCTTTGAGTTTCAATTTATTCATGTATACAATGTGTGAATTCAGAGGTAATCTGTGTTATAAGACCACTGTGAAAAAAATCATGTAAAAATGAATTAAAAAACGTGTGAATGTATATAATGTTTTAATAAGAAATATAATTCAAAGTAGGATATATTTGAACAAACCTCAAAAAATATCTTCACTGCACACAGAAACATACATTTATGTAAAAATAAATCCTTAAGAAATTTTCAAGTTAGCTTTTCTTTTTTTATCTAGAAAAGGTCTTCTGGGGCCTCTCTGGTGGCATAGGAGTTAAAGTCTTAGCACTATTAAGCTATCACCATTCATTGCGGCATGAGTTCAATCCCCACCCAGGTAGCTCGCCCACATGACACAGCAGACCTCTCCTGTCTCGCCCACTACTCCCCTCAGCAGTATGTTTCAGTAGATCTACTGGTTCTGTTTCCCATTCTGTCTCTGGTGAATCCTCTCACCCCTCATGCCACTCTTCTGGAAAAAAAATGTTGTTTGAAATGTCATTAGCTTATTATGATATACTTAAATATCCTTTTAAAATGATAACCCATTGTATACTTTGAGAATAGGGAAACAGTCATCTGATAGCAAACAGACTTCTGAATTCAAGCCTGGCATTTACTAAGATACATGATATCAAGCAAGTTAAAAAGTTTTTTGTTAGGCAAATTAATTTATGTAGCTAGGTCTCTTGATATATGTAGCTAGGTCTCTTGCTATGTGTTTGGCACATTTAGTAAGTCTCAGTAAACATTAGTTACCTTCATCTCCAGCAAAAAAAATATATAATTTTTCCAGATGGCAAATTTCCTTGCATGCCATTCATCCTTGTGGCCTTACCTTTAACACACCTCTGTCTTTTTTAGAGGTGATATCCTCTCCCTGTTCAGCAACAGCTGCTGCAGGGCTTTCTCCATGGTTCTTGGCACCTTCATCAGTAGTCATTTTCTTTTATAGAAACCTGTGAGAAGAAACATATCTCAGCTAAGAAAATGATCACTTTGTGACACATCCTTAAATGACAGTTAGAACTGAGCTTTACCCAGCTAAAGATTTACTTAGGAGCAGTAAGAATGGATACTGTAAACAAAAACATTTATGATAAGCACATAATTGAGGTCATGAGTTAAGTGAACAAAGCATCATTCAACTTTTCAATTTCCTATCCAACGCTGGTCCCAAATTAAAGCACGTACAAGTCAGGTTTGGTAGTTAATTATATTCTTTAACATGACCACACAGTATTTTAACCTGTCTTCCAGTACTTTCTTTCATGCAGCTCTAGGGAACTAGACTAACTCCTCTGCTGCACCAAGCCCTGTGCTTTCCTATCTCTACGTCCTTGGCCATTCTCTTTCTTCTTCCTAAAGCATTGGTTGTTTAACCTTGCCTATAGTTCCTTAATTCTTTCCTGGATTTGTTATCTAAAATATAGATAAGACACGCCTGATTTTTTATTTAACTTTTTTTTTTAGATAACACTGGTTTACAACACTGTATATGATTTAGGGGAATAGGTGCACACCTTTTCAGGTTAACATACCACACCCACCACCTAAACACCCATGATCTTCCACTACAGTTCACTGAGCTCCCTCTCCTCTTGGCTCCCAACTCTCCTCCACTTCCTTAGCATCAATTCTGCGGTCAGGTTTGGGTTGTTTTGATTTAGTTTTGCCTTGTTCTTTTGTTTCTTTATATTCCACATAATCAGTGAAATCATCTGGTATTTGTCTTTCTTCTACTTTGCTTAGTTAGCATAATCCCCTCCAGCTTGAGCCACATTATCACAGGTGAAATGGCAAGATTCACCTTTTTCTTTATATAGCTAAGCAGTATTCCATTGCATATATACACCACGTCTTACTCCACTCATCTGTAATTGGGCTGCAGCCTTTTCCATAACTTGACCATTGTAAATAGTGCGGCAATGAACAAAGGCGTGCATATATCCCTTTAAATAAGTGCTTTTGCATTATTCATGTAGATACCTAGGAATAGACTTGCTGGGTCAGATAGTAGACCTATTTTAATATTGTGAGAAACCGTATTATTTTCTGTAGGGACCAGAACAGTCTACATTCCCATCAATAGTAAGCAGGATTCCTTTTCTTACACACCCTCACCAACATTGATCTGTTTTTCCTGAACTTTTTTATGCAGGCCATTTTCATGGGTGTGAGATGGTATCTCATTGTGGTTGTGATCTGCATTTCTCTGAACTTAAATGTTGCTTTCCATGTGCTTGTTAGCCATCTGCAAGTCTTTTTTTGGGGTATTTGTTTTCTTTTTGTTGAGTTGTACTCATAAATCTTGTGTATTAGCCCTTTGTCAGATATACGATGTGCAAATCTTCCATTGGCAGGGTATTTGCTTTTTTTTTGTTTTAATGAGTTTCTTTCACTGTGCAGAAGCTTCTGAGTTTAATGATCTATTTGTTTATTTTTGCTTTCAATTCCCTCAATTGAGCACAAGGGTCATGCTTTGTTCATACTTAGATTCTCTAGAATGTCTCTACCTTTTAGAATTTTTAGACAAGGAATTTAGAACTCCCTACAAGCTGATATTCACTACTTTTTAACTTATCTAAGCCTTTTTTCCCCTACTTGGGTAAGGTAATCATAATAAAAATTTCCTGGATTAAATGGTATATGTCTATTTTAAAAGCATATTACTCAAATATTAGTTCTTATTGTTATTTTAGTCACCTAGCCAACAGTTTTTCATGAAAGGCAAACCATGCTGCAGGTAGGCTGATCAACAGATGAAACAAACCATACTTTGCTGTCTGCTGCTGTCAGGATTAATTCCATACTGCTCTCCTGGTTGAGCAGGTAAAGTCAGGAATTAATCACTTCTACAGCTATTCCGTATTAATCTAATAATAACATATGTCTTCCTCAAGGAAACTGTCAAAACCTCTTGTCAACATAGTAAAAGTTATTTTACACTTGTGAAAAATATTGACATAACAGTAATTAAAATATATATTGCAGTGTTTTAACTCATTTCCAATTGATGAAGTTATTTTAATGTGAACAACAAAAATCAAAATTGACTGTGCCCTAAAACCTTCAAAGAGAACACCAAAACCCAAGGGTTAAGTCCCTTTGCTTTATTTTCTAGTACAGTTTATACCAAACACAAAATATCCAAATGCTTGGCTCAGGATAAGGGAAAAGGCCAGAACAAATCATTCTCAAAGAAACAAAAACAAAAATTAAGTACCAAGTTGTATGTGGTTCTGAGCTAGATCATTAGGTAAATTAAATGACCAGGGTTGATTCTCAGGTTCTGGTAAACTACACTAAAATCAGATTTTTCTAATGCATAGAAACCTGTAGAATGCTCCTCAACAGTGAGGGAGATATTAAAAAAAAATATTTAGGGGGTCATGGATTGTCTCCCTGGAAACACACCCATAAACACATTTCTTCAGTTTCACAGATAACTGATCAATAGATGTTTTCTTTATACTCTGATTTTAAAGCAGGGAGCAAATCAAATTTACCAGGTGAAAGGTTATTAGGGAACATGAAGGCCACATGGTCTCAAAGTGTGAATTTACAGATTATTCACTAGTAGAAAAGGAAAAAGGCCTTCCAGGTGATCTGACAGGTATCCTGTTAACACCAGCAATTTGTGTCATCACCAAACTGCATCACCAACAGCACCACAAACTGACACTACTGTGCCCCCTGTGGTAATGGGAAGTGCATATACCTGTGTGTAGTCCTACCAAAAATGTTTAATCTGAAACCTACCCAAAGCAAGACAAAATTAGTTTATAGAACATTCCACAAAACAACTAACCTAGGCTCCTTAAAAACATTAGTTATAAAATACCAAAAAAACAAAAACAAAAACAAAAATAGAGTGTGTATTCTACATCAGAGACACAACAACCAAATGCTAAGTGTAATCCTTACCCATATCCTGGGTAAGGGGACAAAAACTTATAAAAGGACATTCTGGGGGAGGATTACAAAATTTGGAAGAACAGACTATACATTAGATTATCATTACTGTATAAAACTTTTCTGGACTGTGATATAGTATTGTGGTTTTATGTAGAACAGTATCTTCACTCTTAAGAGACAAGCTCAGGGGTGAGGTAACCTGATGTCTGCCCCTTTCTTTCAGTCATTTGAGAGTGGGCATTCACATGAGCCCATGACTTGCAAAAGAAAAAAAAAAATTGACAGAGCAGAATTACCACACTGTCAAAGGCAATGCCTTTCTTCTGAATGTTTATCAATTGGGGTTCAACTAAATTTTTTTAATGACAATACTGCTAATATAAAAATTCTCTTGTGGTTCTAATGTTCTCTGACAAACAACAGCTTGCTAAAATTCACGTAATCAGGGTAGTAGTTAAAATGGAGTTGCTAGCCTTATAAATCACAACTGATAACGGAATTTGCTTTTCCTTTTCAGTTCTAACACTCCACGGATGCAAGTATTTTTTTCAAAATTATTTATTAGACTATTAACATTTATGCTTCTTTTTTACTGGTTGAGATCTAGTTTTATGGATTAAATCATTGCAGAAAAACAGCTATTTAACAACTTTCATTAAATGTTATCAATTGAATATTTTATTTCTTAATCATTTATTTTTAATTATTTTTCTGCACCACCACCCTTTATATTTCCTGTGCCTTCTCCTTCCTCATTTCTCTTAACCTCAGAAGCCTTAGTTAGGATGCTTACTCATTTTCTCAACCCATTTATCCATTAATAGACTTAGGGCTGCTTCCACCTATTATGTGTAGTATTGTATTATATACAATATAACTATTGTATATAATACTGCTATGAACATTGCGGAACATAAAGGTTTTTGTGTTGATGGCTTTATATTCCTTGGATATGTGCCCAAGAACAGGATTGCTGGATTATACAATAAATCCAGATTGTTTTCCATAATGATTGTACCAGTTTACATCCCACCAACAGGGTAACACGGTTCCTTTTTTCCCATATCCTCTCCAACACTTATTTTTAATATGTGCAAGAGGTCTGGAGATGACCTACTAGGTAAGACATGTAAACAGTGTTTTCCATTGAGTTGCAATGGAAATTTCCCCAAATGATCAAAGTTTATGATGTTTAAAATCATTATGAGGGCCCTGCCTGGTGGCCTAGGAGTTAAGTCTCAGTGCTACCACTACTATGGCCTGAGTTCAATCCTGGGCCTGGGAGCTGAGCCAGATGGCCCAGAAGACCTCTCTCTCTCTCTTTTTTTTTAAGATTTATTTATTTATGCACACAGAAATGGGGTACAGACCAGAGGTGCAGAGGATTCACCGGAGACAGAGTGGGGAGCAGAACCTACAGACTGACAAACTATGACGCTGAGAGGAGTAGCCCGCAGGTCAGGAGAGGTCTGCTGTGCCATGTGGGTCAGCTCCAGGACGGGGCTCCAACTCGCACTTAAGTGGCTGCTGCTCATTTGCAGTGCTGCACTTTAACCTGTTGTGCCACCAATGAGGGAGCTCTCTTTTTTTTTATAGATTTATTTATGCCTACAGAACTGGGATACAAGCCAGAAGTGTGGGGGTGTGGTGAAAGGATTCACCAGAGACAAGAGTGGGGAGCAGCACAGGCAGATTGACTGAAACACACTGCTGAGGGGAGCAGTGGGTGGGTCGGGGAGGCCTACCAAACCATGGGGTCACTTCCCTGGTCCAGGATTGAACTCTGCCGTGACTGCTGAAAGTTTCACAGTGCTGCAATTTAACCTCTTGTGCCACCAGTGAGGGCCCTTTTTAAATATATTTTTAATATTATTCCCTTATCAGCTACAGATTGTGATTATTTTCTCCTATTCAATGAAGTGTCTTTTTTATCATCTTGTATTTTCTTTTACTTTATAGAAGCCTTTTAACTTGAGGTAATCCCAATTTTTATCTGTGTTTCTAATTCCCTTACTATAGGTCCAAATCACTAAATAATCCT